CTGGACAATGAATAAGGAAGACCGAAGAAGAGTTGATGCTTTTGAGTTGTGGTGCTGGCAAAGAATGCTGAAGGTACCATGGACTGCCAAAAGAACGAACAGATCTGTCCTGGAGGAAGTGCAGCCGAGATGCTCCTTGGTAGCAAGGATGGCCATACTTCATCTCACCTACTTTGGTCATGTCAGAGAGGACCATTCCCTGGAGAAGGATGTCATGCTTGGTAAGGTGGAGGGTTGATGAAAGAGGGGAAGGCCTTTGACGAGATGGATTGACACGGTGGCTGCGACAATGGGCTCAAGTACAGCAAGGATTATGGAGCTGGTGTGGGATCAGGCAGAGTTTCGTTGTTCTGTGCATGGGGTCGCTATGAGTCGGAAGCGACTCAACGTCACCTAACAACACAACAACAAGATAGACCATGTGCTGGGTTATAATACAAACCTTAACCAAAGAATAAAATGAATGAGCAAATGAGTAAGAAAAAGTGTGGTATATTCACCCATTGGGTGGTCTGACTCAGAGGGGCTCTGTAGGAGAGGGTAAAACTGTCCCATAGGGTTTCCAAGGCTGTAATCTTCAAGGAAGCAGACTGCCACATCTTTCTTTCTCCCGAGGAGTGGCTGTTGTTGTTGTTGTTAGGTGCCATAGAATTGGTTTTGACTCATGTAGTGGTTGTTGTTGTTATGTGCCATTGAGTTGTCTCCAACTCATAGTGACCTTATGCATAACTGAATGAAACACTGTCCAGCGCTGTGCCAGCCTTACTATCCCTACCAAACCTAAGCCCATCGCTATAGCCACCATGTCTATCCACCTCACTGAAGGCCTTCCCATCTTTCGTTGACCCTCCACCCTACCAAGCATGACATCCTTCTCCAGAGACCCATAGCATCCCTATCTACAACAGAACGGAATCCCACCAGGCTCTGTGTCATTCTACAATAGCTGCTATGCTTGAGCTCATCATTGCAGCCATTGTGTCAATCCATTTTCTGGAGGGTCTTACCTTTTTTCATGGACCCTCTACCAAGCATGGTATCCTTCTCCAGGGCTGGTCCCTTCTGACAGCATGACCAAAGTATAAGATACATAGTCTGACCATTCTTGCTTCTAAGGAGCATTCCGGCTGTACTTCCTCCAAGTCAGATTAGTTAACCACTGCGCCACCATAACTCCCTTATAAAGATGAAAAAGCCAAACCCACTGGCATCCAGTGGATTCCCTCTGCCCCATGATTCCCTCTCAGAGCAGCTGGGTGAAACCACCAACCTTTTTGTTGGCAGACGAGTTAGTGCCTTACCCATTGCAACAACAGAGCACCTGTCATAAACACACGCACAAAAAAACCCCCAACTCACTGCCATACAGTCCATTCCGACTCATAGCTACCCCCACTGGGTTTCCAAAGCCACCAGAGCTCCCCCAGTAAAAAAAAAGAAAACCAAACTCACTGTCGTTGAGTCAGATCTGACTCATAGCGACTTCTCCTTAGGTTTCCGAGGCGGTATCACTTTGGAAGTAGATTGCCCAACCTTCCTTCCGAGCAGTTGTTGGTGGGTTTGAACCGCCAGCCTTCTGCTTAGCAGCCAAATGCCTTAGCCACTACACCACCAGAGCTCTCCCATATCAGAGGTAACATCTCCAACAGGAAGTTACCAAACCCCACAGTCACTAGGTGGAGCCCTGTTTCCGCCGGAAACCAGGTCTTTTAGCACCTGGCAGGAAGGAAAAAAAAAAATCCCAGAAACCAGAAGTGTAAGTGCGGGTTCTGGCTGGGCACCGCGATGTGTCGCATTTCTACGCCCGAGATGAGGTAGGTTTCTGCCTGTCGGCGACTCGCTCGGTTCAGTACCGGATGCGGCCCGCGGGGCCGGAGTGTAAGGGCGCTGCTTCCGCTTTCCTGGGCAGTTGGGGCTTCTCGTCTTCGGTGTGCTGCTCCAGAGCCGTTTGGCTTCCGGTAGCCGGGCTGTACCCCTTCCGCCGCCGCCGCCGGTTTCCCGCCGCCGCCGCCGCCTTCCCGGAGCCGCCGCCGCCTTCCCGGAGCCGCCGCCGGTTTCCCGGAGCCGCCGCCGGTTTCCCGGAGCCGCCGCCGGTTTCCCGGAGCCGCTGCCTCCCCCTCCTACCGTCAGGCTCTCCCTCCCACTTCCGCCTGGGCCGTGGCTGGTCTGTGCTGGCCAGGGGTAGGGGCGGTGGAGAAGGTGGGCTGGACCTGTGTCTCTTGGTGCATTAACAGGTAAATCGTGCAGTTCTAGTCCAGCAATAGTGTGACTCCACACCAGCAGCGTCAGCATCAGCTGGAGTTTGTGAGAAATGCAGAGTCACGGGTTTCACGGAATCCCCAGGTGGTTAGCCTGAGTCTAAACGCCTTACTCGCCCCTCCTCCAGTCCGCTGCTCACGGTGCTCCCGTTTGGTTTCTATGAGTCATCAAGGCGGGGCTTTTGTTAAGTGTTCCTGGTTTTACAAAAAAAAAAAAAGATTATGGTGAGGAATAGACGACCCTCTGATGTAATGTTTTAAAGGATGTTTAATGTTTTCAAGAGGCCTGGTGGCGTAGCGGATAACTCCTGTGACTGCTAACCAGGAAATCAGCGCTTCAAGTCCACCAGCAGCTCTGTGGAAGGACGATGGGGCAGTCTATTTCCTTAAAGTTTCATAGCTTCGGGAACTCAACCGGGGTCGCTAATGAGTCAGAAACGACTGGATGGCAGTAAGTTTGGTTGTTTTGGGAGTTGGTTTAATGTTTGTAGGTATTTAAGATAGAGGAAGAATTTAGAAACATGTGTTGGAACTATCTGTATGTAGGACCTTATTTATCCCAAGTTAGAAGAAAAATAGTTAGAGGCACATTTGTAGGGATCTTACAGTAAGGCAGACATTTGGATCATGATTGAGCGAGAAACAGCATGTCCCACCCTAGTTGGGCTGCTGTAAAATGTGATGTGGCTGAACAAACTTAATAGAGCGGGTGGACGGTTTATGGAGACCACACACCCAGTGTTTGTCCAAGATTGTAAGGAATGGCTGAGACAGAATCTATGGCATTAGATGCTGGTGATTCAACTACAGGTTTTGCTGCCAGAATCTATGGCATTAGATGCTGGTGATTCAACCACAGGTTTTGCTGCCAGAAAGCTATGCTTTTCTTTTTTCAGTTTTTATTGTGATTTGTGTGAAAGGTTACAGAGCAAATTCATTTTCCATAAAGCAGTTCATACACATTTTGTTTCATGGCATTGCCTGCAGCTCTGATAGTGTGTAACGGCTCTCCTCCCACGTCCTCCCCGTGGTTATACCTTCCCCATGTTCTTCCCTCCCACGCCCTCTTTTCTCCCAGCTATCTCCCTATGCAAACACAGCCCTTCTGTTGGCCCAGGATTGATCGATTGTTCCAAGGCATGTATCTCTGCCTGATGTAAGCGTTCACCCCATATGCCTATCTGTTTGACTGGAAGCCACCGGAGTGAGTTCAGTTCCAGACCTGAAAAATAACTAGGGGCCATAGCCTGAAGGGTCTCACCAGACTCTTATCAGACCAGCAAACCTGGGCTTTTTTTTTTTTTTTTTTTTTTTAATGATTTTGAGTTTTGTTCCACATTGTTCTCACATGTTATTCATGATGTCCTGCACTGATCCCCCTCCAGGTGGTTGACAGTGGTAGCTGGGCATCATCTAGTTCTTCTGGTCTCATGGTTATACAGGCTGAGGATCGCATGGTATACCAGTCCCTTGGATTAGTTGTTTCCATGCATCTTTGGCTTTCTTCATTCTTCTTTGCTCTGGATGAGGAGAGACCCATTGTTGCATCTGGATGGCTGCTTGCAAGCTTTTAAGACTCCAGTGGTTACTCACCAAAGTAGGATATAGAACAGTGTTTTTGCGTATGTGTTGTGCCAGTTGAACTTGATGTCCCCTGCAACCATAGTCCTGAGCCTATAGGTCTAACTCACTCCCTCAGGGTAGCTGGCTGTGGCCAAGAAGCCACCCAAACCTTGTCCCTTGTCAGCTCTTCTATATGTACACCTGGACGTTCTTACAACACATACAAATACACTTGTAAAACATTGTCTGCCAACCCTATACAAGGTCATGGGCGCATTCCCTCTGCCTAGATATACCTGATCATTCAGCTTGTCCACTCTTCTATCTACCTGTATATCAATGTTTGCTATCACTGATAGTGCAGTACTTTACATGTAAAAGGGCTCATCTTTGTTGTCTGTACCTCCCATGCACCTCTCTGTGTCTTCCTCTTCCTCAGTGCCACCGTGTTGATCACTCACTTTTGGTACATTACCCTTCCCTTCACCCAAATCAATACTTGTCTCTACCTGTCTAACACTAACAGTGTTCCCTTCTCTCACCTCCCATCCCTGGTAACCAACAAAGTTTCCTTCGATATATAAACCTTTGCTTGATGTTTTTCAATAGTGAACTAATACAATGTTTGTCCTTCTGTGATTAATATATTTCACTCAGCATAATGTCCTCCAGGTTTATACACATTATGTGATGTTTTGCAGATTCTACATTATTCTTTAGGGTTGCATAATATTCCATTGTATGTATGTACCATAGTTTGGCTATCCATTCTTCTATTGATGGGCATCTAGGTTGTTTCTCTTTGCTATTGTAAATAGTGCTGCGATGAACATGGGTGTGCATGTATCTGTTCTTGTCCTGGTTCTCAGTTCTTTAGGATGTATACCCAGTAATGGAATTGCTGAATCAAATAGTATTTCTAATTCCAGCTTTTTAAGAAATCTCCACACTGCTTTCCATAGTAGTTGTATCATTTTACAGTCCCATCAGCTGTATATGAGAGTCCCAGTCTCTCCACATCCTCACCAGTATTTGTTATTTTCTGTGTTGTTGAACTTTGCTGTTAGTGCTGGAGCAAGATGGTATCTCGTTTTGATTCGCATCTCTCTAATGACTAATGATCGTGAACATTTCTTCATTTGTTTGTTGGCCACCTGAATATCTTTGCTGAGGTGTCTAGTCATGTGTTCTGCCCATTTTTAAAGTGGATTGTTTGTCTTTTTGTTGTTGAGGTGCTGGAGTTTTCTATAAATTTTAGCCATAAGTCCCTGATCAGGTATGTCCTTGCCAAATGTTTTTTTCCCAATCTGCCAAAAAAGATTCTCTTTTATATCTTTTGGAGAAGTCATTTGAAGCACATAAAAATTTAATTTTAAAAACTTCCCATTCATGTAGTGTATCTTCTGCTGTTTGTATATTTTGGGTTATGCCTGCTAGTCTATTTATGCCATAAATTAGGGCCTCTAATTGAGTTTTGTTCCACATTGTTCTCACATGTTATTCATGATGTCCTGCACTGATCCCCTCCAGGTGGTTGACAGTGGTAGCTGGGCATCATCTAGTTCATCTGGTCTCATGTTGACCCTATGTTTTCCTTGAGGAACTTTATAATTTTAGGTTTCACAATTAAGTCTTTGATCCATCTGGAGTTAGTTTTTGTGTATGATAAGGTATGGATCTTGTTTCGTTATTCTGCAAATGGATATCCAGTTTTGCCACCACCATTTGTTAAAGAGACTGTCTCTTCCCCATTGAATGTATTTCAGCCCTTTGTCAAAAATCAGCTGGCCATAGGTTGATAGATCTGTTTCTGGGTTCTCAGTTCTCCACTGGTCTGTTGTCTGTTGTTGCATCGTTACCAGGCTGTTTGACTACTGTGGCTGTGTAGTAGGTTTTGAGATCCGGGAGTGTGAGACCTCCTACTTTGTTCTTCTTCTTCAGTAGTACTTTGCTTATCTGAGTTCTCTTTCCTTTTCATACAAAATTAGTGATTGTTTTTTCCATATTCTTAAAGAATGTTTATAGGATCTGGATTGGGATTGCATTGAATATATAGATTGCTTTGTGTAGAACTGACATTTTCACAATGTTCAATTTTCCTATCTACAAGCATGGGATGTTCTTCCATTTATGTAGAACTCTTATGGTTTCTTGTAGTTTTCTTTGTGAAGATCTTTTGTGTCCCTGGTGAGGTTTATTCCCGAGTATTTTATTTTTGGGGTACCAGCCACTCCATGGAAGGAAGGTTGGGCAATCTACTTCCGTAGTAATACTGCCTTGGCAACCCAAGGAGGGGTCGCAGTGAGTCGGGTCCGACTCGATGGCACACAACAACAACAACATTGTAAATGGTATTTATTTCCTTTTCAGCAATCTCTTTGCTGGTGTAGAGGAATCCAAGCGATTTTTGGGTTGCTCTTGTATCCTGCCACTATGCCAAATCTCTCATTTAGTTCCAGTAGTTTTCTTGCTGAGTCTCTTGGGTTTTCTATGTGTAGGGTCATATCATCAGCAAACAGGGATGGTTTTACTTCTTCCTTACCAATTTGGATGCCTTTGGTTTCCCTGTCTTAGCCTTACTGCCCTGGCTAGCTTCTAATGCAGTGTCGAATAGAAGTGGAGATAGAGGGCGTCCTCATCTGGTTCCTGTTCACAAGACGAATGGTTTCAGTGTCTCTCCACTGAGAATAACGTTGCCTATTGGTTTTGCACATATACCTTTTATATTTTGTTGAAGAATTTCCCTTCTATTCCTATTTTGCTGAGTTTTTTTTTTTAATTAATTTGTATTTTAATGGGGAATGTGTGTTAGACTTTATCGAATGCCTTTTCTGCACTGATTGCTAAGATTATGTGGACCTTTTTCTTTACTTTAGTTATGTGTTGAATTACATTGACTGTTTTCCTAATGTTGAACTATCCTTGCATACCTGGCATGAACCCTACTTGGTCATAATGTATTCTTTTTTTGATGTGTTATTGGAGTCTATTGGCTAGGATTTTATTGAACATTTTTACGTCTATATTCATGAGGGATATTGGTCTGTAGTTTTTCTTTTTAGTGATGTCTTTGCCTGGGTTTAGTATCAAGATTATACTTGCTTCATAAAATGAATTTGGGAGAATTCCATCCTTTTCTGTGTTCTGGAATAGTTTGAGTAGGATGGGTGTCAGTTCTTCTCTGAAAGTTTGGTAGAATTCTTCAGTGAAACCATCTGGCAGGACTTTTTTTTGTTGGCAGATTTTTTTATGACTTGTTCAGTTTCTTTTTTTGTTAGGGATCTGTTCAAATTTTCCACCTCAG